CTAATTGTCATTACTGGCCGATTTAGACTAGGGTTGTACACCCCGAGCGCGGAAGAAGACAAGACGCATCACGGCCTGCTTCGCTGCCGCGAGAAAGTGGGATGACAAAGCGGAAGAGAAAACCTCCGGGTTTTCATAAGACTTACGGATTAGTATAATACAGCTCTAATGCTTGATGTATTTCCTTTGTTCTCTATCGGACTGTATCTTAGTACTATAACAAATCAAAACCCCCCATAAGCATTGCTGTCCCTTGGTATACATTATTGCTTGGATTCAACTTAGTTCAATCCTCTAGTTTACCATCTTTCATTCATTGTCATGATTAAGAAGAGTCAACTGGAAAGAGAACATGGAGGACACTTATGATTACATAGTAAGGTATAGATATCTACTTAGGCCATCGGAAGGTCGGAAGATCGGCATGTTACTTGCGCTAAGAAATTCTAAAAAGTGGGTTCAGTCGGATGATACACATGTCTCCACCCACGAAAAGTACATCATAAGGTACTTACTTAGGTAACTTGCTTCCACGGGGTCTACTAGGCTTAACAGCCACACCCTGTCACCACAGTGTGTTCTAATTTCAAATTGTTTAGAATCGCTTTACACTTCAACTCGAATGCACATCTACCCGACCTCGTGTCACGTCCTACATACGAACCATTGTGAAAGATATCATGAATATGTGTGACAGAGAGTATTTGTACCCCTCACTAGGGTACCTTCCTCAAAGAACTAACCCATAGAAAACTGTCAGTGTGGATCATTGTTTTCCTAAGCACTACTGCGCTGGCCTTCCAGTTCCTCTGAGAATACACTAGGTACCAACCTCGAAATGTTTGCGTCTGAAAAAACAGCACCGTCACCCATGAGTTTTGACTATGACAAGCTAGACTATGAATATCAATATGCGGAATATCCTTGATCTTACCTTGCTCTGACAATCTACTGGGTGCTAGTTAAGAGAATCTGGCTTGCGAAGCTGACCTATTACAAGACATCCTCTAGCGAGCCAGAACTGCTGGTATAAAAAACTTTGACTGCAGTGAACAGATACTCTGAACAAGACTTTTGAGAAATACCAGATCTGATTGACATTGTGGGATTTATATGAGGATACCTAGGATGTAATATATTAAGAACTATTTTCCTTCGTAAGTGGAGAGATTTTAGAACCTGAGCTGGAAGACTTCACTCTAAATCAGATAAGTCGTCATGGGCACTTTTAAACAGCTTATTCAAGAGCTACAACCACCACATATCATGAAGCTTCTTCCACTATTGGATTGGGACTCTCATAGTGCGTGGATTGTTGATTAAATGACTTATATACACCAGTTGGGCTTTCTTAGAAAACCTTGGAGTGTGAAGAGGTCAGACAGTTAAGACTAGCTAGACACATAATTTTCATTATGAGCCTTGGAATAAAAACATTGTGAATAGGCTTATGAACATGAATAGCATTAAGAATGACAATAAAATATGCAGGAAGTAGCGGTATACTTATCAAGATACCCAGTAACAAAAATTATAAAAGGGAAGATCCTCTATGTAGATTTGTTGGTCTAAGCTGTTTTGGCGATCACACTATGAGTAAGTTCCCCACATAATTCTGGACAACCCCGCTGCTTTTACTATACAATCCCTCATCATCATCAATCTTCCGTCCGAATGCTAGGCTCACTTCTTCTATATAACTAAAAAGTACCCACTCGCGGTGTCTCCTAGGCATTCTTTTCACTTTCTCGTTCAATATCTTCCGGTTGCACACACACACACACACACACACACAGTTTATTATTTTCCTTGATTTGAGCTATTCTATGGACTCCTATTTCAAAAGCTGGATTGGGATGGCGATCGAACAATGGATCTTAGTCGATCTTTTGGCGGAAAAGATTCGACGCCATTATGAAGAAAACAAAGGCCACATCGAAGAGATGACAGGGACTTTTCTAGCAACTCGAGTGTCTGAGACGTCTGTTGAAGAACATGAAATGGTGATAATGAAAATCAAATTACAGTGTGTGGCTCCTGTTACCTCAAGGTATAAACCAAAATCTTACTGGACCTACAGGCTTTCCTTATGGGATGAGCCCGATTATGAACATGAATTGAGTCAGGAAGCCCTTCGCGAGATTGCAAATCTTGAAAAATTGACAGAAACCAATTGCAAATCAACTCCAGCATTCATAAGCTGGTCTGAATACAAACAGAACAACAATATGCCTTGCCCGGGAGGCTACATCGTGATTATTGTGATGGGAAAAGTTCGCGGACAAAATCTAGAGAAGTTTGGGGATTTCTCACTAGAAGAGCGGGACCGTGTGAGGATTGCCTTTATCAAATCATTGTGGTGGGTAACCTGTTTTCTCATCTCCATCTCTTGTTTACCTCATATTTCTTTGATTTCGGAGTGTGGAACCCTGACTATTGAAATTCAAAGGGAGTTTCGTTGTCATGGAATGGGTCATGCGGACCCTCGTCGCGAAAATGTAATTTGGGACGACATTTCTCAAAAATGGTAGGTATCTAACGCATAAGTTCATGCCATTGCTAATAGACAATTAGCATTATTGTTGATTTAGAGGATGCATGGGAGTTAAATTTACCACAAAATCCAAAGATTACAATCGATCCCGTATCCGAGATCTCTTTGTGGAGGTTAAACTCGGGCGATGGACGAAACCCGGAGGATCTAATGATATCAAAGATTGATGATAATCCACATTTTTGTAACTTGGAGGAAGCATTGAACTTGCTGGAGGCAAAATCCAAGGCCAAAGGGCCTTGAGGGGACATGATCTCGGTACAAAACCAGTAATATCTAGTTAATTCACAGCATACTGTGGCTGATAATCAGCCGATAGGATACTAGATAGCTTACAACCGTCCGGTCTTTCCTTGGTAGACTTAGGCTGCTCAGGGCGTGCTGGGGGCGAGCACTAAAAAGGCCTTCGAGCCGTTTAGAAAATCAAGTACGTATATGTACAAAGGTTGACATGCGGCATCATTTACACGAAAAGATCTCTCGGTCAACATGCCGTTTAGGAACCATTCGGAAGACGCGGTTGCAGTCTATAGTTTGGTTCCATGCCAAACTGTTCCCGCACGGCGTGAATCCCGAAGAAAAAAAAAAGGTGGCACACTTCCAAAATAACACAAACCCCGCTAAACTCCGTAAGAACCGCAACAGACGAAAAGAAAAGAAAAGGAAAGGAAACCAGCTCCCCTCAGGAAGACCCAGTCAGGCCAAAACTCTCCCTTCACTAATAGTGGGCACTCCGCCCACTCCGCCCACTCCGACGATGCTTGACTAGGGATCTGAAGAATCTCCGAATATATTGTCGAAGAGCGGAAAAGAACGTCCTCTTGGGGTAGGCGGAAGTCGTGACCAAAGGCGTGTCGTCCAGATCTGCTTCCTTCTCGGGATCAATCTCGTCGATATAGGTCGACGTCAGGGCGTTTTTGGCGTCCTCGTGGGCCATTCCAACGGTCAGATTCATGAGGCGGCCGTGGCCGATACAGCGACGGAGATCCGGCTCTTTGTTCTCTGCTTCTTGGCTGAGTTTGTCGCATGAGAGCATGGCGACATGGTATGGGGGCGCGGATAGAGAAGCCCGGCGGGCGGATGGAGTGAAATGGGTGTTTGCGGTTTGATAGAAGGCTGTTTCGTATAGTCCAGTCATGCTTGTTTGTGTATAGTCTGGGAGGAAAGCAGGGGAGGGTAATAAAATAAAGACTTAATAGTTGAGAATATCCAAGGCACACTTTATTGCTACCACGGCTGACTTTATATCTAACCATAGTTTGCCATAATCTTGCTTTCAGGGCATGTGTTACCACGATGAATAAGAGCGTGGCAAAGAGCCCACGAACCTGGGTAAAACGCCCCGTGTGGTGACGCTCAAATAAGGTTTGCCTAACAACCGTTTCCGACCTGTCTGTGCTTTCCTTTCTTGGGGATGAGAAAAGGACGCTCTGGCAGATTTGTTCTAGAACTGTGGGTACTGGCATAATTTGATTGGGATGGCGACGTTCTTTGTTCTAGAACTTTTTAGGGTTAGAGGGGCATCTGTTCTACGGTTCCAAAAACCATCCCCCATCCACGTACTACATCCAATAGCCTTCTTTTGTACCTTGCGTGCCAGGGTTGTCTTCTGGTTGGGCACGTGTCAATCTTCCGTGGTTATGCTTTGCTGACTGGTGACTATGGGGTAGTTGATTCGAAGATGTTTGAGCGTGGTCTGTATGACCTCATACTATCCTTTTCTGGTGGAGAATGCCCACCCATAGGGTGGTGAATTCGGCGCTCCCTCTACCTTATTGCGCGTTTTGTCCATGCAAATGGCTTATGTGGCAATGAAGTGGAACGGTTCGAGCAGGTCAATCATTAACCTCTCAGGCATGCTCACATACCCCAGCCTGACCCAGTGCCACCTCCGCCCGTTCCTCCCGGGAACAGACATCTTCAGTAGGATAAACCAGGGCCACGTGCAATCAGGCCTTGGTTCGTTAGTCGGTAATTCGTGGGCACAGAAGGCTGTGCTTCATTTCGAGTTTGTCCATTAATGGCGTGCCTGCTCTCGCCTTTATATTTATCGTCTTGAATACTTTATAGGGAATTCCAGTTGTCAGGCCATCGACAACACCGGTTTATTAGCGTATGTGTTATCTTTTTGATGCCCAATACGATTGGGTATATGCTGTGGGAAACACTGGAGGGTTATAATTAACCCGAATCCCTACCTGGGAACTATGTAGTCAGTATATATAGCTACCAGGAAGCCAGCTTTGTTGTCAACGATTCGGCCGGTTGCCAAAAAAAAAAAACGACATCATATAGTAGCAGTTGTATATTATACAACGTATCACTCTATGATAAATAACCATAGAGATCATTTCTATCCACCTATACATGTAATCAGCAAGAGAATGTGGCCACATATAACAGAAGTAGTACATATAAACAAAATATCAATTACTCACCAACAAATGGCAAGATGGCCGAGCGGTCTAAGGCGTTGGATTCAAGCGAAAGCTTCTACCAGAACACTGGAAATCCCAATACTCCCAGAGTGCGTGGGTTCGAATCCCACTCTTGTCATAAATTTTTGTACTTTTTTCTACTTTTTTTTTTGGAAGTAGAAATTCAATCATAGCTAGCCTGCTCTGTATTTTTGATGTCTTATCCACTGAGACTGGATACTGACTTATTGTCGCATAGCATCTACTCGGCGGATCGCCCCTGTTACATCAGTTGACTGATATGCACACCTCTTGTATCTTTATCAATTCCCTAAACCGCTAGATAGAAACAACTCAACTGTATCGATATCAACACTACCCTACCTCTACTACTTATACTAACTACACTCTCCAGCTATGAAGATTCACTGTCTATCTCTGTCCATACTGTAGACGGAACCAATCACAACACCACATCCAAAGTCCCCACACCAAACCAAACAAGACAAACGTACCCTCCGAAAAAAAGAAAAAAGTAAAAAAAAAAAAAAGATATCACCACAGCATCTGGTAGTATCATACTACAAAATCAACCAACAATTGCGTCGCATTCTCTTCTAACAGAATCGACACTGTCATACTACCAGGCAATACACGAATTACTGTCTCAACCCATACCGCCTATACCCACCACCCCAATCTGCAAGACATACTCGAACCGCATCGCATCATCCATCCATCGCAGACGGACGAAAGAAACCAAACGATAGACATGAGCGACATGCAAAAGACTCCCTTTGTCAGGGAGCTCGCATCAAGCGGTAATTACCCCAGCCCTCACCACATTATCAACGACACGAAAACAAATCCAACTAACATAAAATATAACAGACAAACGCACCCGCGACAAAGCCACCCAATCCCTCACCCTCTTCCTCCGCTCCAAAACCGACCTCTCCCTCCTCGAGCTCCTCAAGCTCTGGAAGGGGTTATTCTTCTGTACATGCCCTTCTTTATACTTATATCCATCAACATGTACTAATAACGAAAAGGCTTCTACCACTCCGACCGCCCCCTAACGCAACAATCGCTCGCGCGCGCCCTCTCCTACGACCTCGTCCCGACCCTCCCGCGCAGCACGCTGCTGCCCTTCCTGCGCGCCTTCTGGATAACCATCGGGCGGGACTTTCACTCGCTGGACCGGTTGCGTCTGGACAAGTACCTGTTTCTGATTAGGTGTTTTGTGGGGGTTTCCTTTGAGGTGTTGCTTAAGAATCCTTCTTCCTCCTCTTCTTCTTCTCCTTCCACCAACGAAAGCGACAAGAAGCGCAAGAGGGCAGATGATACCTCCTCATCCAACAACAAGAAGCGAGGCAACGGGAAGAAAGGCAAGCCTTCTTCCTCTCCCGCATCCAACAACAAAACCGAAGAAAAGGAGGATACCACCCCAACAAGCCAAAAAGACTGGTCAACCCTAGAATCATACATCAGCATCATCAGCGAAGGCCCGCTGTGCCCGCGCAACTTCGACCCGGACCAGCCCCCCGCAGACGAAGCCAACGACTACGTGCCGATGCCGCACGGCCCGGACGGACTGCGCTACCATATTCTGGACCTGTGGGTGGATGAGCTGGAGAAGGTGCTTGAGTTTGAGGGGGAGGATGAGACGACGCGGAAACCGAGGGAGGGTGGGCCGCCGGCGGAGTTGCTGTTGAGACCGCTTGAGACGCTGGTGCGCGAGAGCCCGTATAAGCCTGTTAGGGTGCGTGCTGCGGAGGCGTTGGCTGATGAGAGGCTTGTGCAGTGGGGGTGGAAGGAGGCGAAGGTTGAGGAGGATAGTGATGATGGGAGTGAGTGGGGTGGGTTTGATTAGGGAGAGATGTATAAAAAAAAGAAGTACGATGGAAAGTGTAATAAAGATGGATGGATCTTTTACTATCAAGACGCTATATACATGACAGTCCAGCAGTCCATATCCAAAACGCAAAACGTAAGAAATGCATGCATGCCAGTGCCACTGGGTCTTGCGCCCGGGTATCTCATCAGGGAAGCGACTGAAACAGTAATGATACAGATCACGGCGAACCGGTAGCTCGCCAAAAATCAAGAGTCAAAAGCCAAAAAAAAAAAAGCAAAGAGAAAAAAGATGTCAAGGCCGAGGCCCCTCCGTCTCGTACAGGTGCCCCGACTTGGAGAGCACAGTACCCAGTCCCTGGTGCACCTCCGCTTGGAATCCCTCAAACGGGACCGACTCGCCATCCACGCTGATGTAGCCCTTCCTCTCTCGGGGGATCAGTCGGTAGGCTGCCACCTTGCGCACATGCACGTCGGGCATGTCGAAAAAGGTACCCTCGGGGATGGAGGTCATCATCTTGATGGACGTGGGCCGGCTGACGGTCCCGTCGATGGTGACCACGTCCATCAGTCCGTCATGCGGCACGGCGGCCGGGAAGAAACTGGTATCCTTGGACATAATGGCCATGTTGCCCGCGTAAAAATTGCCCAGGGACTCCCCCGGGATGACCTCCCAGTCGCTGGGGAGCTCGTCCTGGACGGTGCCGTATCGCAACTCGGGGAGGCCGCCGGAAGGAGCCTCCTCCGGGCGACTGGGCGCCGGGCTGCTGGCGTACGCTTGGTAGTGGTCTTTGATGGCCTTCTTGTCGTCCAGGATCACCTTCATGGCCAGGTCGCACGGGTAGATGGTCCGTCGCATGAGTCGCACGAGGAAGCCGTACGTGAATCGATGGGCCCCCATCCAGCGAATATCGTCCGTGCCCAAGTCCGATTCGGCGACGATCCCGAACGATTGCGATAGGAAGGAGAGGGTTCGCGTTTGGCCCTGCGTGAGGGAGACCAGATCGATGGGGGTTTGGACGCCCTTGACGATGGTCAGGGCGGCCACGGAGACACTCCCCGTGCCATAGAGGTTCCACGACATGGCGTTTCCGGACCCGCACGGCAGCATGGCCACGGCCACCTTGGCGAGGGCCTCCCTCGCGTTCGGCTTCTTGGCCAGACCATTGAAGACCTCGTACGGCAACCCGTCCCCCGAGCCGCAGACGATGGCATCGTAGGCCTCGACGTCGATATTCTCGGCGATCTCGGTGGCGTGGCCGCGGTGGGTGGTCTCTTGCACATCCAGACGACACCCGGCGGCCGCGAAGATGGGCTCGGCGTACTTCTGGTAGAGTTTCCGGGCGCCACCCTGGCCGCCAAAGGGATTGATCAGGACCTTGAGGCGTCTATGGCGGTGGGCGGCTGCGTATGCAAGGTCGAGCAGCTTGGCTACCCACTTTTCGATCTTTGCTTTTTCCTTCTGCGCGACCGGGTAGCGGAGAGTGGCCACGGAGACCTCCGATTTCGGTTGCGGCGTGGCGTATGTGATGGTCAAGTCGGTCGGGGAAAGATCGGCATCGAGGATGTTAAACAAGGCGATGGAGTGGGTCTCTTGGGGTGCTTGTGACAGGAAAGGCAGGTTAGTCGCTCCGCTCGATCTGGCGAGGGAAGGTCGTGCACTTGTACCTGATAAGGGGAGGAAACCGCAGCACGTGCGATCGGCTTGGCGCGACGGGCGCTCATCTGCAGGATTGTCAGAGGGAGGGGGAAAGGAGAACTAGAAAAGGTCGTGAGAGACGAATTGGAACATACCAAGAACGGTGAGGGCATCACCAGCCAAGGTGAGGGAGACCGATTGCGCGACCGTGAGGGAGGCATCGTGCGCCAGCAAGTGTTGCTGGGAATCCGGCTGTTCCGGATGGATCAAAGGTGGACGGGAGGCGCCATTGGTCGCGGGAGAAGTCATGGTGCGACGGGAGGGACCGAGAGCATCATACAGGACACGCCAGAGGAAGAAGAAGAGCGGGGTGGACGCGACGAGGAAGAGGAGGAGAGAGAGAAGGAAGAGAGGGGATAGAGAGGCGAGAGAGGGAAGAAGAAGAGGGAAGAAGGACATGACAGGAAGAGGAAGAGGAAGCAATTCCCGGTGGGAACGAATCAGGCACTAGTTGGTGGCCTTACCGAACGGGCCAATATTCACCAGTTGATGATTTACCAGATTTGAAAAAAAGGTCATCCAGATCAATCAGGCGACCATCACTATTATAAAACCACAGAGGCTTGCCTCTCTTCCTCAAAATCTATTTCTGTTGCCTCCCAGGCACCCCACTCCCTGCCAGGAACCACCGATTCTCTCACTCCGTTCCCTTTGTCATCATTCTGCAGAGGCGACAGTGTTGCCCGCATGCGGAACAAGTCCATTGTCAGTGGCCAGACCCCCAATGGATGCGGAAGGGCGATCTGCGACAGGTCATCCAGCGTGTTATTTTTATCTGATCCCTCGATAGGGACAGGATTGAAGAGATCCCTTGGTCAAGGATCAACCCCTACAAACACATATTGAATATAATCCCCGATATTGAAAGAATGACGAGGAACGGCCATGCAGCCAAGGATCATCCATCATCTACTCAATACCGAGGTTGCGCGGGGCGGTGGGGCGACCACTACGAATCAGATCCACCGATGGAGGACTTCCCATTATCCAGAAACATGTCTATTCGGCTTCGACTCATAATAGAACAGAAAGTAATAATAAAAAAAAATAAAAGAGATAAGGCAGAAGAATGAAATAGAAATAAAATAAAAATCCTTTCTCATCCAGCTCCGCAGGAAAACAAAATCAAGCATATACTCAACAAATTCGTCCATCAAAAAAATAGAAAGAAAAAAGAAAACACAGTTACAAGATCTCCATCCGTGGAGCTATGAGGGGTGTATAATAAGTCAATAAGAGAATAATTGGGATTCCAACGCTGCACCACCGACGTTCAGCCTTCCATCTCATGCCGTCTGCGCCTTGAGGCCCTTCAGCGAACCCAGACTTAATGCCAGCCCCTGCGACCGACTGCGGATTCGGACAAACCCGGTGATCGGTCCCTCGTCGCCTTCCATCTCGATGCTCAGGTTCGCCAATGCATCCTCGCCTGTAGCCTGATTAGCATGGATTCGGTAGACAAAGGGACGCGTAGGATGATAAAAAAAAGGAAAAGTAAAAGAACAAAAGGAAATGAAAGAAAAAGGAAAGGTGAAAACATACCAAACACACTCCGGGCATACAGATTGGCACTCAAGAATCGGCAG